AGATTTAACAACAAAAAAAAAAAAAAACGGTTGTTTGAAGCTTTCTCAACAAAATACCGAAAAGCTCCCTGTAAAGTATAAAGGAAAAGAAATAAGTATAAATCAAAGACCCTTAATTTTATAAAATAAAATAAAAACTTCAGGGGCGTCAAATTGGCAAATAATGGACACCTTAATGTACATAGTGTATTCTACAACACTTCTGAAGATTGCTATTATGTTTATATATTAAAATATATTTATTTTTGCTACACAAATTGAAATTTCCATTGTTGCTATTTTCATTTTCTTAGAATACTCTTACATTTTTGACGGTTTGCTCATCGCTTAAGGACGACTTTCAATTCTTTTTTGTGTTTATGGTTTTTTTCCTGGCATCACGCCTGTCTTATTTGTTTAACTGTCTATGACTGATGTACTTAGAATGGGCCTACAGAAGACTTAGTTCTTGCATTAATATGAGTCGGTTCATATTATTCAGCAGCTAGCTCCTGTCATCGACTTGGAATATTACTGCATATAGTGGTTAGTACCCAAAAGTCGTCAGTGCAAGTTTTCAGCTTAATAAAGCGTCAAACGATTTACTACACGACTCTAATTCCACTCCAGTGTTTCACTTCAATTAATACACACATATATTTGGAAGTCGAACAAGTCTTTCGTATTTCTAATCAACCTTCAACTCATTTTATATATTCTTTAACTATTCTCTGATTTCTCTACATGCGTAAAAATATGCTCTCTCTTGAAGCAGCAAAACACTCGCTTCGACGGCGACAGCTTCGTTGTGCGTATAACAAAGCAAACAGAAGGCTAAGAGTATAAAAATATTGAGACAATTTAAAAGGTGCTTATAAGCGTTCTTGTAAGCAAAGGTGTCACCGCCTACACAACTCCTTGCCACTTGGCTTTTATCCACTTAAGGTGAAATATATGAAAAACAAGTGCAATTCAATGAAAAGTCTTTTCACAAACCAATAACATTAGAAATCCATTAAACTTGGGTGGAAAGTTGCTCTTTTATACACCTGTTTGGCTGTGCATTAAAGATGAGTATAAGCAATTGAAACTGCAAAAGTGCTGTTATTTTATGAGAGAGTTGGGTTATCGGAACTGTGTTGTGGACGATTAAGTGAAAATACTTTTAAATATTTAAAGTGTCAATGAAATGGGCTCTTAAGGTGAGAATTTTCAGATTTTTTTTCAGCGACTTTCGTGGGTATAATCGGAAATATGAGTGGATTAAATTGTAACAATACATTTGAGCAATTCTAGTGAAAGCTACAGGTCTTTATTGGTGGATTTGAAGGATTAGAAGACCGATTTCCATCAAAGCCAAGGATTGGGAACTCGAAAGTTAATTTTCCTTGTACTAATGAAAGGAGTGATTGCTACTAAAATGATATAGTAAAAAGGCTTGAGAGCAATTGCGAAGAGATCTGAAGTAGAAATTTTGTACCAAAACCAAGGTTATATTGAGAAAATATATTTAATTTTAATAAACAATACTGCTATTGGAGATTTATTAAGGGGAAAGACAACTCTAGAATTAAAAAAAAAAAATAAAAAATAAAAAATATGTTTCCTTCTACTCAATTGAAAAACTATTCAAAAAAATATAGTCGCGAAGTTTCATTGGCTTGCTACGAATATTTTCGTAGAAATAGGTTACCTGCACTTCATGCCGCGGCTGTATGGGTACCAATACTTTGAGGCTCGTTTCCTCGAAGCACACTCGCTGAGCTAGAAGGTTGAGAAATAATAAAAATTCTTAAAAAAGAATTTCAGAACGGTTCCTCAGCTGGCCATATTAATGCCATACTATGCTCTATCCATCGCATAAACATGGGAAAAATCAATTCGATGGCTACGTTGAAAAGTTTCATCAGGCTCAGTAGGAGTTTAAGCGCTAAAAGGGTAATTTACACTATTTATTTGCCGTTTTCTGGGCAGATCGAAAACGCACATAAAACTCACCTGTGTATGCTGATTCGCCTACTTAGTTTTCATATAGAATAACTGTAAATAGATGTTCGGTAGATGGGGCTATAGCGTCGTTGAGCACCAAAGCGTGGAATTAAAGAGCAGCTATACATCTTTTTATTTTATTTCTGGAATTTAAATCATTTAAAATTGCGCAGATAAGCCAAAGCTGGAAGCGAAAATGCATAAAAGCTATATAAAATAAAAATCGCGTAAAATTACAGCGACTCACTGTACTGAAAGATGCAATTCCACGAAATGAAGTTGTGGAGCTGGCGAAAAAGAGCCCAGCGCAATTCTTAGTAATGTGTTGCCAGCAAAATAGAAACAATTTTCCAACATTCTACACCGTTACGCAGCGCAGCAACAAACAGCGCTACACCGTATGTGTGTATGTTTGTCTGCGGAAAATAGACAGGCAGCAAGGCAACGACGCGGAAGCATTGTAATGAGAAATATAATTTCCTAAAGGACTTAATTATTTTATAATGCTGCAAGGAGCGCGAAATAGCAGCAAATCGCGCCAGCAGCCAAAGGTGGCAACACAGATGGAGATATAAAAGTGAAGGCAAGAGAAGCAGGTAATGGAGAAAAGTGGTTAGTGACGGCCACGAAGTTGTAAACAATGCACTTTGCTGCTACACGCCGCCGTGCAACATATTCAGAAGAAACACTTTGCAGTGTTCAGGTGTATGCCGATGTTGGTGTGTGTGTGTGTGTGTCCGATTATTTTGTTTTACACATTTTGGTGAATATGTGGGTTAACTGCACTAATCTATGATTGCGTGTAACTTACTTGCACTAATAACCATGCAGGCACTCACACACACACATGTATATTTTGTGCTCAGCTTAGCAGAAATGAAAGCGAACAGCTTTTTCAAGCACCGCTAAGTCAGTGCCGTTTATGCTGCCTAGACGAGATTCATTTTGCAGTGCAAGCACGAGCTTTTGTGTGTGTGTGTGTGTGCTGCGGTGGACCGGTGCAAAATATACAAATATTAATACGAAGACAATAACTCGCGGCGCAACAAAAAGTAAAAAAGAGAAATATTCACAGCAATGGGTAAAGCAAGTCTATAGCTTTGCTTGTAGCGACGTAGAGGGCGGGAGAGCTAAAGCGAAGTTGTCTAATTACCCTTTAGTTGTAAATTAGTGGTAAGCCTCATACAGATAAGCACATGTAATGTTAGAGCTGGGAAGAGCAAGTAAGCAGGGGGCTGGTTTGGCGCAGTTCAGGTTGCCCTTACCTTCGGTAGTATTATCAGCACTGGAGGCTTCAAAATAACTGCCGGATTATGAACTCAGTTTTCGGTATTAGAACACACCTCTGTTAGGAAAAACTTTTTAACTAAAATTCATAAATATATGTTACAGACTGCCCGATATGTACGATATAAAGGAAGTGTTAACTCGATTTTATCGATTATATTCTCGTGGATTGACCGCAATTTTCGGTTTACTAACTAAACTAACTAATGGCTTGAAAACGTGTGGTCAACTCGGCCAATTTTTTTGCAAATTTGTTTTAGGATTTCACCAAAAGATGAGTACGTCTCGCTCATTATTCAATTCTAGCACTGATCCTTATGCCTTACCATCCTTCTAATTTCATTGTAAAATTTAATATTACTGACGTGTTTTCTTAGTGAGTTATCGCACTTTTATTAGTTTTCGTTCGATTTCATCCATATCCCCAGTATATGTGGTAAAACTAGAAGAATTCGGCTATCGTAAGTCTAATTGTTATAGTTCAGTCAGTCTATAATATTTTCCACCGAATGTTCTAATGTTTCTCGCATCGCCTTCACCAGACATTTCCTTAGCCACTTATCCCATCGCAAAATATTTTACTTTTCTTTTTCTACCCTTCTTTGCTTCGCCTTCTTCGTTCGATTCAGCTACCCGCACTTGAGTAATTGACCCATGTCTGAGTTGCACCATTATCTTTCAGTAGCTCATCACGTCCATCAGCAGGTTTTTAATTAAAACTCCATACGCTGTTGCTACTGTTTCTGCAGCAATTACTGCTGCGCTTGTAATTATTATGTTGTCGAGGTACGCGCATGCAGTACTCGTACACACTTCAACCGCAATGGACACTTAAGGCCTGAGTGATGTACTCGCGGGCTACACGGCGAGCGTGTGGCAAAATGTGGCGAACTGCTGGCATTGACAGTTCGCAGATTAAATTAAAAATTTCCGGGGATAAACTGGAAGTGCACACTTCAAGATACTATCTATGGTTTTTATCCTTTGATTAATGTAAATATAAGGAAATTAGGAAATCCTTTTAGTAATACAATAGTGAGGGCGAACACATGTACATATATTTTAGAAGATCTCAACTCTTTCGTCAATGATTTCGTGGCAATACTTGACGCTTTGATTTAGCGATTTCTAGCGAATTGAAAAAGCTATAAGCTTAGAAAGGATTGTACATGAATTGCAGGGCTTCCTCTTTAAGATAGTATTAGCTAATTATAGAACTTTGTGACACTATTCCTGTTCCCTTACCGAAATGGTACTCGCGGAGATCAAGATCAAGAGTCTCCCAATGAATCCATTGAAAAAACACTGTAGACCCTCACCGAGTCTGATGCACCACTTTGTGTTGCGCCTTGGACCACGGACGATCAAAATCAGGAAATTACGCCGTTGACTTGGTTTTCACGCCGAAACCTCACAAAAGTGTGTTCATGAAAAAGTTGTGTAAGCATTTCATAGTAATTAAGTACTGGGTTCCATGACAGTACCGGTTGCCAGAAACGGCGCACTTATACCTTGGTTAAAATACCTGTGCTATATGTGGTCTGATGAAACTAAACTTTTCATATTTATTCTCAAGCATATCATCAAAAACAAAAAAAAAAAAAAAAAAAAAAAATTCTTTTGTGCTACATTCATAAGATATTACTTTTTATTAACTTATTAATATAAGCTTTAGGCGCAAAACATATTTGGAGCTTAAAATTCTAAACTTCTTCTTAAGGTTTCTTCCAGAACGGCCACATTTTTCAATTTATAAACTCTAGTTTGGGCTTCGGCATTATTCTCGGACACAAACGTGCCAGCTTCGTGCTTTTCTCCAAGTTGTAGTAGATGATCTCCAAAATTAATACAGCCAAGCTAAGTAGCATAGCAGATACTAAAAAAAGTAGAGCCGGCAAGAAATGCTGTAGATCTACTTCGACCTCATAATTCTGACTTAGGCTACAGTCCATTTGTGGCAACTGCCATTGGTTGTCGTTATGTTGCAAAAGCCCGGAGGTGTGAAATTTCGCAATCGATGTTGTAAAGTATTCGCGAAACGGTGAACTTTTCGTTATACCAAGACCAATACGATAGGGTGGAATGAATGGCACATCTTGCAGATCGCAAAACTCCTTTTCGGTTAGTAATTCTAGAGAAAAATTTCAAAAGTATTTATTTATTAATTAGTTTTGAAATTATTTTCTATTGTCATTGCGAGGCATACCTTTCAGTATGTAGTACATGCGATTGGCCGATACATGAAAGGCAAAGCCGCCCTTCTTTATGCGCTCAGCGCCCTCCTCGATGTATAAGATATTTCTTTCGCGATTCTTGCAAACACGCTCCTTGTAGATTGCCATCCCTAGCGGCACTGTAGTTTTCTCAAAGGTTTCAATATTATATGGTATATTTTCTATGCCGATATCGAGGCTGCTGTTATATAGTGCCTCCAAATTGGTTATTGTGCGCGGTGAGATGGACAGTAGTGAGCCCACAATGAAAGCGCCATAAAACTGTTGCAACAACAAGCTAAACAGGCAAACAGAGAAAATGAGCGTACGCGTTGATGTGGCGGCAAAAGCGTCGGTTGAGGGGCCTTGCTGGAAAAATGCTTCCAATATGGAGAAAATCGCATAATCGAAACGCGTCTGAAAGTGTGGATCTTTATTTATGAAGAAGCGATTTTCGTGATGCAAATGTAGTTGCAACAATAATGTGGTCAGAACAACAATCGCAATAACAGTGTACCAGACCTCTTCGACAAACGGCTCAAAGTAGATGTTACGAATGTCATTGCGGTGCGGATGACGGAATATGAAGAAGACACTGCGAAGGTTTTGATGTTAAAAGTAAAGCTCATTTGTTTTGCAGGACATGTGAGGTATGAGGATTCTACTTACAATTCCGTATGTACCGCTATCGTGTAATGTATTAAATGTACCCTGTTCGGGACAAAACGCATGGGACATAGTGAAAATTCCGCTTCACCGGAGAGTAATAATTTCATAACACCATCCCAGCTGCCATTCGGCGCTTGCTCACCCCAAGTTGTCCTCAGTACTGGTTGAAAGCTGGAAATTTTGATAGTGAGGTTATAAATGTACACGAGAAATGTTTCTTATTGCCCAGGTTAGTTTTCAAATACTGACAGATTTAAATTTTTGTTTATATTTTTTATGTTTTAGCATAGCTAGACGGTTCTCTTTGTTAGCTGAATAAATATAACCTTATTTTTATAGCTCGGTGGATTTTTCTCTCTTTCTCTTGAACAGGAAATATTAAATTTGAAAAGATGTTTTTAATACCCAAAACGAAATAATGCCCTGTGTGACGAACTGACACCAACTGAGTTTAGCTATATTGATTGAATTTTTAAGCGCGACCTTTTCTCACCAAGAAACTGCACATTTTTTGAAACGGTCGATCACTATAGCACATAGCAGTCATACAAACTGTACGATCGGAATAAAGTGCTTGTTATATCTTAAAAAATTGGCATTGGTTATTGCTATAGTCCTCGAACATATTTTTCAGATCGCACCACTATATCATATAGCTTCCATTCAAACTGAACCATCAAAGTTCTTACAAGGAAGTTGTAGTTCTTTGAATCGTATTATTGTCTCAGTTTAATTGAAGTTAAGATTCTGCTTGTTCTCTTCTCAAACGTAAAGTAACTCTGTACATTTTATTTTTTTTAAATATATATCTTTTAAGTGAAGAAATTTTTACGATATTAATATAGCGAAAGGTGGATTGAAACTTTGATAAGTCAAGACACACACCCCTTAATTGTGGTGAATTAGCTCTACAAAATATTAGCGAGCGGTTCTGTTTTTAAAGTAATATAATGTGTAGAATTATTTAAAAAAATTTACCTTACGTCAAATACAGGTTCCATTAACTTAACCAATTGGTAAGTTTTCCTTTGCATGGGGTCAAAATTTTTATGGTGCATGGAGTTCAAATAGTCCAATTCAGTCATATCGGCAGGCTGTTCCCGTATCTAATAAGATTAAGGTCTGTAAAATGCTCTCTTGAATAAAATAAGTCTGTCGGGTATACGCACCACTATGCCACCTACTAATTGTAGACCCTTAAAATTGCGACGCCTGTTGACGAAGGTTCGATGGAACCTGGTATTAAGCTTGAGACCTTCAGCGGGGCTCCAATAACCTTTCGGTTCAATATCCAACCAATCTTTTTGTATTTTGTAAATGTCGAAAAGTTGTATGGTATTGCTGAAATCGAAAGAATAAATCAATTGCTATAATTAGTCGCACTCGAAAGAAATATTAATTACTTAATGACTAATTTGGCGGCAGAGCAGACAGTAACCAATTTCTCTACATAAATTTAATATATTGTGGATAGCGAATTTTACTTCGAATTCATGCTGATCTCAAATATTCCATAGAATTAATATTACTCCTAGTAAAAAAAGAAAGTTTATCTTCCAGTCAGAATTTCAAGCGTTTTGGGCTTATGTATTTCTAGCTCTTTTGCTTTCTTTCGGCAGATACTATTAATTTTCTTTACAGTCTTCCTTTTCAAAGCTCAATTTTCACCAACGGCTCGGTTAATCATTGGTCACATCGTGTCTCTATTTGCCATGAGTATTTGACGAATCTCCCGTAGAAGTCAAATACTTTGAGGCGGAGCCTCTATTCCACCACAAACATTCTGCTGCATTCTGTTAGAACAATTTAATTTATATTAGTATATTTCACACTCACTTGCCATCCAACCGGACACCGATTGTAATGTCCGCACTTATATTAACTGGCAGTGGCGTCATCACGCGGCGCACATTCGCCAGCGCTGCCGTCACCGTACGTTGCTTGGACATTATGAACCAGACGCGAGAACTGTTGAAACGCGAACCCACATCGACACGCACTCTATATCCACCAGCATCGATGGTGTCAACACTAATCACATTTGAGCCCAAAACATGCTGCTGCAACAACACATCCTCCAGTTGGGCCACATAGATACCGACACGCGGTGAGTCATGGTAGAAGAGTCTTTGAAAATCGGTAGCGTTTTTAGCGGATTTCGCTTGATGGACATCATAAAACTGAAGTGATGCCACATTAAGCAGTGCACGTAATGTATTATCCTTTAGCAGGCCCGCCTGTTGTTGTGCTTGCTCTGTGTCGCCATTGTAGGCGATAATGGCATGATGGAGGTGTTGTTGTTTCAAAACGTCAGCAAAAGCGTCAAATTCATAAGCATTCGCAGCCCCTGAAACACTGATATTCCACTGCGATAAAAGCAATATGAGAGTAGTGATGAGCCGAGTAGGTCCACAAAGCAGTGCCGACGCGAATGTCTGCCGCCGAGCCGTAGTAGCGCCTTTTGGGGCGGCCATTGCACTGATTTGTCGTTGTCGCGCCTGACAAGTGCGTAGCAAAAATTGACGCTTTTATATAGCAATATGTTGGATAATTGGCAAATGGAGGGAAGGCAATTTGAGTCAGTGACTGAGGCATATTGTGCCCCAGAAAAGTACTGTTGGCCTATCAAGCAAAAACGACTAACAAGCCTCAATGCAGTCCGCAAGGCAAACTAGCCCCTTTAAAAATATATTTCGATGCATTATTTAGCACAATTGATTTTTAATGCGTTACTTTTCACTGCAGCAAAATCAACATTTACCGCTAGAATTCTTGTAACTTCAATTTGCAACAGTAATATTTACAACAAAATTCTGTTTATTGCAACACCTGCAGCGCGGCATGCCTTCACGTACATAACGGCACCTTAATTATCGCATTAACGTTAATCAGCGTCGATTTGTCACAGGTGTCACAACAGTTACTTAAACCACTTAGCTGCTTTTTCTATGTGATGGGCAAGTAATTGCGTTGTTGTTGGTTTTAGAATGGCAATCACAACTGTTGCAACAAATGTTTGCAAAAAGCGTAATGGTCGCCATTATTGTCAATGTCATCATCAGTTTAATTTCGCTTTTGTCGCATTTAAAGCACGTACTACGCACATAACGGTAATGGCTGCCCGTCGGAAATTTAGTTGGAAGGAGATGATGTGTTGAACGCCATTTTGATTTTAAGTGATATATACGTTAGTGTAAACATTATTATTATTTGCAATGCAATTGGGCGCTTAAATGGTCAATCAATTTTGTGCGCGGTTGAGGACTGTATATTCAGCAAAACAAGCTCTCCAAAGCGTTAGGCCGAGCAGCAAGTGTAGCTTTTGCTTTGGAATGATCGGTACCAGTTATTGTTATTGCGCACTTGTTAACAATTTGGCGAATTGGAGAGATAAGAAACTTTAGCGCTATATTCAGCACCAGTTTGTCTGCCTGAACCTAAACCACTGAACCGATTTTAGTCAAATTTAGCACACTGTGTCCAGTTTGAGCCAACTTAGAAGATAGGATAGTTTTGAATTTATCCAAATTTAAACCTCAAGTACAATCTCTTGGATACGTATACCGACAAAAACGTGTTCGCCTTTATTCGACTGTATTGTATAGTTTATTATACGAATAATAGTATAAAATGTATACCATAGCAAAGTGTTTTCGGATAGCCTTAGTATTTTGTAAAATCATATAACGGAGTCTAAGAGTTTGCCGGACTCGTCATGTTTCTATGAGGGCTTCAGATCTCGAAAATTTTCACCCTTGATAATAATTGGGGTTTTGATTTAGATTTTTTAGTTTCAACCAGTTCCTTAGGTTAGATTTATCTAGAGAGATTCCACGGGGACTGCTATATGTCTTTCTGAGGCCATAGAAAAGAAGAACTCCCCTGTTTGAAATTATAACTCAGTAGCCAATAGAAATTTGCACAGGCATTTAGTTTTCACTCCAGCCATTTCGGTGCGCGTCTGAAGATATGCGCTCCCAAGTGTTGACCTCCCAAACACGGGACAGTCAATAGAAGTGTTGAGTTGCTTCGAACTCATCTTCTTCCGCACAGCTTCTGGGGATTGTGCCAGAGCCCTATAAACAAATATTTATATTTCAGTAGATGAGATTCTGGAGTAGCCTAAGTATTTCAAAACTTTACTTTCATCAGTATTTGACCTTGGCGTTTTTGGTGTTCAAATAAAACATTGTACGTCATTAAGTAGCAATGAATGGAGAAAGTGAAGTGTTTTACAAAATATGCCTTCAAATAACTCAATTGTTATCCAATATATTTAACACAAAGACAATCAGGCGATTGGAAAGATGGAAATGAACACAATTTCAAAAATTTTTGAAAGCTGATTACTATTTACATTAACTTTGCAACATAGCTACGTTGCCACATAATTCAATAACATAAGCAGAACTCAATTGAGATTTTGACTTCAAGCGGTAAGTAAAGCAACACACTAAAGTAACTAGGTAAAATTCGTTATTTCATAATTAGAAGTACATACATGTTTATATATTCCTATAAGGGTGGTTCTAAAACGTAATTATTTGGAATGTAATAAAGATATTGTGACCTAACACATAGCCTATATAATTTTTCATCTCAAAGGTGCAACTAAAAATTTAAACATTTCAGGACGATAACTGTAAAGTTTTCTTCCTCTATTTAGACACCACCCCAATGTTAATTTGTTTATTAATGCTTGGCTACTTATGACTGCCTCCCAAAATAATGCTATTTATTCGAAAGGCAAATCATTTTGGCAAAATTTGGTACATTATGATTTTCTGCTGAATTATCGGTGATATTTCAACATGTTTGATTTTGTTGTAATGTTTCTTCCTTATTACAATATTAATTGTTAACTTTAAGGCATATACATTTTCAAATTCAGTCGCAGGTCACATACATATAAACGTTAAGTATTCGTGTATTGATTAGTACAGCGACCACTGCACTAACCAGAATTCTGGCCGCAGTCTCTGACATATGCAACTTCAGTCCCATTTTCATTTATGCTCACATTTTGCTCTCATCAAAAGTAATTGCCGCAGTATGCGCTGGCAAAATTAAATTTTCCTGAACCGGCAATTCACATCTAGATATATGAGCATAAGTAGGGGCTGTTAAAGCGTTTAACTTCGATTCCAGCTAGTTGGCTGTATGGCAAAGGCTTATGAGTCATTGTTATTTATATAGTATTTGACATTTGAATGCAGTTCAGAAGTTTCCTTAAACAAATGTTGAAGCATTCAGTTATAATAATTATGAATTATCTACAATTTATGACATCGTAAAAATTATGCGAAGGATTTGCTGAACAATATTCGGTCCTTAAAGTCCTTTTTGCTTAAACTATCTGTATGTGCATATTATATATTTATTTCTATACTGCTGAAGTTGCATATAAGGTTTATCATTTTGCCAGCTTAGACCAATATACTTTCAATAGGGACTGCCGCCTTCCAAAGTATTTACAAAAATTGTAAATAAATAAAAAGCCACAAGAAGGAAGGGTTAAAGCAGAGCTAAGACTATATTAAAGTTTTCGTTTAGACTAAAGTATTTAATATACGATATACAATATAATAACTCTTCATTATAAATATATATGAATACATTCGTTCTTACAAGATGCCAGACTCCTTTCCATTACGAAAATGAAATACTTAGCAGTCATTTGAAAATGAAAATGCGAACTGAAATTCTCTCAACCGTAACATGCACATTAGAGTTACGTAAGATGCATAAAGGAAATGATCGTCAGGCGATACTCCAGTCGAATAGTTAAGTGTTGCTTACCTAGGATTTTCAACTCATAGAGTCAAGAGCATATAATATTTTAAATGATTTTCTGTAGATTCATATATATATATATGTATATGAACATAAAATGATATGATAGTCAATTCAGTTACAAATAAAAAAAAAAAATTAGATATTTTGCTTACTTTGGTTGAAAAGACTTAAAATAAAATCAAAGTAAAAAAAAAACCAATGACCTCAAATGAGGATATAGTTTATTTGGGAAATAAGCTTCGTTGCTTTTTCTTCACAGGTGCTTGTTTGACAGGTATGCTTATAGGAAATTCTATATTTCTAACACAAACAACATATTCATTGGTTGGTTGGTTGACTGAGCACCGAAACGCAAGAACGCTGGACCGTACGTGGCTATACATCATCATTAGACTCACTGGGCCCCTGGGTGGAGACCAATTTAAGCCTTTTCAACAACTCCGTTGATTTGGTGAAAGATCTGATTATTTTCCACTACTGGAAGTCGTAGAGAATGTTCCTTCTCATCTGAAGGCTAGGTAATCGCATGGGATCCCTACAATATTGCTAAGCTCGTTTTTGCTTAGTAGTAGTAGCTTTTTGGTGTGTCCAGCAACAACACTTATGACTTACTCCGGCCAACAGGTTTTGATTAAAGAAGAGAAAGTCGATATCAAGACAGTTGAACGCACCTTCTACGTCAATGAATGCCGTTATGGTGAATTTTCGTCTTTATCGAAGAAACTTGTGCTTGCCCCGACTACCCCATGTAGGGCGGTATCAATCGATTTTCTTTTGACGCATGTTACTGAGTTCAAAACGGTTTTGCGGGATTTGTCTTTTGATGAGATCTATGTTAGACGGATTAGTCTGGAAGGTTTTGGCAAGGAGTAGTTATTCTTTTACGGTTTCGGTATCTTCATTAGAGCTATGTCAAACTTACCTTTTACTAGTCTGTCGCTCAGATTTGTGGACGCGCTGCTACAGTGGCAGTTAATGTGCGTCTGTCCTTCTAAGAAACAGCAAGGTCTCAGTTTCCTGTCCCGATGGGCAACGGAAAACCCTACCATTACAACTAAAAGCTCGTACTTGGAGAGCCTTCCTTAGGGTTGCCCATCAACCAACTTACACTCTAAAATAAAAGAACTTTTAGTGATATTGGTCCTAGTTAAAT